TTAAAAAAACAAGAGTACCTTATGATAAAAAGAAAAACCAAAGAGTCCCTGAATTTACATTCTTGAAGAACTTCAGCAAATGAGCTGGAAGTGATCACTTTTGTTAATCTTTTCCTGGTACCAACTACTTGTGTTAAATGGACTTCAATTAAGGGACACTAGGATCCAGGAGAGTAAAATCTTTTTGTTTACTGGTATTGGCTTTATGGGGCTTTAACGATCAAGTTTGTGATCTATATCAACACTATTTTTAGCTTTAAATTGGGTCATTGATTTTATTCTCTAGTAGTAAGCTACAGTACCTTGTTATAGAGGATCTGTTGATTAAACAATCAAACAGATAAGATAGCGACATCTTTTGTAGAACAAGGCTCTGACAGTCAACGACACTTTCAGCTGGAAGAAACAGATCTGGAGTCTGGCACTGGCAATACTTCATATATGAATAAATTCATATATATACTGTATATACCTGTATAAGATATTAAACAAATTCAGTGACTACATTTAAGTGACTAAAAGTAAGAGTGATTTTAATATAATTTGAGTCAGCTCATACAAATAAAAATATAAATAAAAATAGATACTTCAGTCAACCTGACTTAACATATTACTAAAACAATGACTAAAACAAAACTGATGACTAAAGAAACTCTGCAGAACTATCATGGAGCCTGTCAGACATCCTACTACAACATACAACAATACAACATGCGAGAGCTCTGATCTATCCAGTGGAGAGCGTCCTATTTCACAAAGTCATTTCAGGGTCCATTTTCACATTAATCATACATATTCACAGCACCCTGGGAAACAAAGAACTTCCTCAATGTAATTTTATTGAAGGTATCATTGGAATGTGAAATACAAAAAATGTCTTTAAAGGAACCAGAAGACAACTGTAAAGAACAGCAAACAAGTGAACTGGACTGATCAGAGCCCAAGGACAGTGGTAATCTTTCACATGGCCAAACCAATGGTCAGTCCTTACAGATTCAGGACAAACCATGGATAGCAGACTAGAGCAAGACATAAACACTTTTAGCTGTTAATTGTTCCTGACTGCCAAGCAAAACTGACTGAAACATACTGCTGAAAACAAAGCAGACACAGTGTAGATTCAGCCTTAAAACATGTTGCCTGGTTGCCTAAAATTATCAGATGAAATGTGAATATTTCTATTTAAACTCCAGATCTACTGTCATAACTCACCTCACTTGTTTTTATAGCACAGCTCGGGGAACCTCCACCCAGCAATGTACTGTATCCACCGACAGCCAAGATGAACCTGTTTGCCCACTGGCCCCTCTACTGGATCTTCCGCCCCTTCAGCACCAGCCTGCTGCCCTGGACTGGGGCCTCACGCTGGACTCCTGCCTGCAGATTCCAAACTGTTCAACCTTTACACCTTGGAAAAGCTCGGATCTTTCTTCTGTAAAAGGGCAAGGAGCTGGGAAAGAGACAACAGGACAAGCAAAGGACACCTGTCTTATCTAAAGA